TTACAATTCCTTCAAATTTCTATGGATCTATGAACCAAACATGCCCTAACTTGCTGTCAAAACTATAATAGAAAATGTAGCAAAGAAAAACAGCATACTGATTTAGACATGTATTCCACTGGAAAATGGAATGACATTTACAAAATGAACAACAAAAAAAGATGTGCAAGAAATAAATCACAAGCATAACTGGTAAGCAGATGAAATCAGACTACCTGTGCATTATCAGTCTCTTCTATTGATGAAACCAGATTACAGGGTTTGTCTCTGATGTTGCACAAACCATAAGCTTTTTTAATCTTCATAGAGCCTTATTAAAAAATGAAAAAAAGACTACTTACATTATTGCATTCATCAACTTCTTTAGGTGGATGCTGTGCTTAATCTAGAAAAACACCTCATTCCATCCTCTACAAATGCCATAAAATTCTTGCATTGGCTTTTGATGGATGACTACAAGCCACAAATTCCAACCTTCTAAGAAAAGCATACCACATGTATCCGAAGAGGGTAATAACGTAATTTCAACCAAATTGGCATATTATATCAAGCTTATTGTCCTATACTAAAATGGACATGATCCCAAATATGACTCCATGTTGTTCCTTTAAAAACAGAAAGTGTGAGTCTCCGTATGCATGATTTGCATGGATACAAAAAGGCATTACTTGTCAGAAGAATATAAAGCACACAAACTTATAAAGAAGAGTAAAATACACTTTTGGTCCCAGATTATAGCTAATTTATGAATTTGGGTCCTTATCTGAGGTTCTTGTAATATTTACAGTCCCTGTTCCAAGTAAAGTGGCTATTTTTGGTCAACAGGTATAGCTGATTTTTGTAATTTTGGTCCCAAAAATATTGTCATTTTACTTGAAACAAGGACCAAAAACGTTACAATACTAAACTAGAAAGAATTGAATGATTATATATTCTTTAAAGTATGGAAACCTAAAAGTGCTGAAGAGAGTTTTGTAAAATATTACCTTTATTTAAGTAAGGTTTGCCTCTTTCGCATTAAATGCAGCAGCATTAAACAATCTTTCACTACTTAAATGCAGCAGCTATTTAGGTATCACATGCAATTATGAAATTCATATTTCCTCCAATATCTTAGTTGCTCTGCATCACATGCAATTAAGAAATTCACAGAGTGATTTCACTACTTAAATAGGGAAAAGAAATTAGAGTATATTGTCCTAATAAGCAAAAAAAAAAAGTATAATGTCCTGATAGGAAAATAACTAAAAGTAGTATGCTATAATTGGGTAAACTGTTACCTTTATTAAGTAACGCTTGCCTCGTCTCGTTAAATGCAGCAGCATTAATGAGAAATTGTTTTCTTTCAGACCACAGATGACTTCACTGCATTCATAAACACCTAACTGAGCATCAATATTAAGCCTTGTTGATTTTAAAATACATAAATTTATCATACCCATCGTATCATACACTTTGTTATATATAATCATGGAACACTGCAGAACACAGTAGGTCTCAATTCCACCACATCATCTAATGATTTCAAATTGTCCTACACAAATGAAAAGTTTTGTACCCTATTAAGTCGAAAAACACCAGTTTTGTCATGATGTGATTAAGTACATACAATAAAGAAATCATTCGCATGAAGTTAATTTGAAAATAACAAAAGTGAATATCATCTCGTTGGACCTTTCATATAAGTGCCAATGCCAAAGAAAAACAAGATATATAACTGAAATAAGCATGAATTAATTGGGAAGAATTAGAACAAAATGACGGGAAACAATTGCAATCTTATCACCATGTCGGAAAAGGAATAAATTCCACTTAGGGTACGAAAATAATTCAACATTGGATAAACTTGAAAAGGAAAAAAGAAAAGCATAAGTGAATAGAAACCTTTCGTGTCCCATTTGTGTGACATATTGTAGCGACATCATCCAGTTTTGGTGGACAAAAAGAAAAGGGTGATGGTTGTTACCTACCGAAATTCATATGGCAAATTAATCAGTAATCAAATAGCAGAAATCATGAAAGATTAACTCAAATCAAAGAAACTCATGTTATTGGAGATGTTTTTAAGTCTCTGATCACAAGACAGTGTTAGCGAAAAGTAGAGCAAAATCAAACACTAAAATTTGATTCAACAAAAGGATTTGAAGTAACATAAACTGGTAATAAGAAACCTTCATTGGGTTAAATTTTCAACGACATTAATTGCAACTAAGCAGATATCTACATTGCATTATTTGCAACGACATTAATTGGGTTAAATTTTCAAAGTACAATGCCTCAATAAGAAACCTTGAAAATACAATTGTGTAGTAGAAAAAAATAAAAGTAGGAAACTATACTAAACAATTAAATAATGCTGGTATGTTCCTATTTCTTGCTCTTAGCGCTAAGCTTAAATCAGACTTAGGGGTAGTAATCTCGAAGCCGATAACTTCACTACATTCATAATATTTCAATTTAATTGGGTAGTTTTTTCAATGTACAATGCTTCAATAAGAAAAACTGAAAATACTAACTGTAATCGTTAAGCAGCCTCTGGTATGAACCCTTCCTTCATCATCAGTTACTTCTCTCCTTACAAAATGGTAAAAAAATTAAAGTACAACTGTCTTAATAAGAAAAAGTTGAAAGTACAATATTGTAATAGAAAGAAATGAAACCAGAATGCTATAAAACACAATTACATGAAAATAAGTTGTTATTTATTGCATTTAGCCCTAAAAATAATTTAAACTTTAAGAGTATCCATGACATCAAGAGACAGGGGTTATGCAGTTGAAACCATAAAACGAAATCAAGCTTGTCTTTCATTTTGTTAAATTACTGGAGTATTACTAATCTGTCCCACATAACATACGACTGAAGAAAGTTTTGTAAAATGTTACCTTAATTAAATTATATCCACACACCTAATAAGCCTTACTGATTATAAAATACATAAATTTATCATATACTCGGTTATATAATCATGGAATTTGAGTTTCTTACTCCTTGATAAGCTCCAATATAATTCCCAACCATGACCTCCATATCAAAAACCGCTTTCAAATTCTGAAATCATTAATCAAAATAGAATTGTCATATTATTCTTGAGCTAAACTATTTTTGTATCCATAAATTTCAGTTAAAGAAAAGAATAGCATGCAAATTGCAACAAAGTTTCATGAATTTTAACTACTAAGCCACATTTACATATGCACATAGCAAAGATTTATGATGCTCTCAAAAACCCAAACACAAGAAAGCATCACTTGAGTATAAATTTCACATCAAGAACTTTTATATTAAGTGAACATAGATTGTATTATTCGCTAGCTAAATGAAAGCATTTTAATCAAGTCAAACCATAGATAGATATAGACACAAATCCAGAAATCTTAAGACATCATCATCCAGGTAGCACTATATCAGTGCAGAACTTAATGAAAAGGAAAGAAAGGATTATGTGCCTTATGTCAGAAACACTACACAATCAGATATAAGTTTTTTTTTTTTCAAAACCAGTTGGATAAGCTAAATGTTGAACCCATGGATGTGGATGTTAATTTCTCCACAAAGAATTTACCATTTTTGATCAATTTCTTTCAGCTTCTTCTAAATCTGCTTTGACAACTGAAGAATCTCAGGGGTCTACACATTCAACAAATCAGAATATTAATAAGATAAACTGATATGAGCATATTATAATTACGATTTCATATGGAAAATAAATCAGTAATCAAATGGCAGAAATCATGAGGATTAAGTCAAACCGCAGAAACTCACGTTGTTAGAGATTTTTAAGTCTTCTCTTGTTGTTATATCTGACATTCTGATGTCTTTTGCTGTTGCTTAGGTTGCTATTTAGTTAGCCTTTAGATTTTTAGTTTTACTTCATGGACTCAGTGGCTGCTGTAAAAATGAAAGATCAAGTAGCAGGTTGGTTATATATAATCAAGAACACCACACATACTTTAGAAAGTTGTACATGAGTAGAGCTATAATCATCAGACTCACCATAGTCCTCATCAGCATCAACAAACAAACTAAAAACCAACTAAAGATTTTGACAAATAAGATAAATGTGATGGATTTGAAATAAGATAAATGTAGATGGCAGAAAGAAACAATAAAAAACATTAACTAGTGAAGATTCAAGTAAGATAGAAAGACAAACTCCAATAAATATGCCCATTCAATTCAGATCAGAACAACTAACTACATACACATGAAGATGGCATATGAGCTATATATGCAATTTTCAAACTACATAAATTATACCTCAAACAAGAGGTCATCAGTCTTCACAAATCACAAGCCTCACTACACAGCCAGTCTTTGAAGATAAATAATAATAATAATAATAAAAAAAAAAAAAAAAAACCAATACCTCCTCCACAAATGAACTACCACCAGGATTTCTCATGTCAGATGCCTAGAAATACATATGGCTATCATCGCTTATTCTCAAGTTCCCAAGGGATAACTTTATGCTAAAAGATGATGCTGATCAAGAAAAAGAGAACATGTCATACTTCACAACTAAACTTATTATACAAATGAGAAACGGAGCATTAAACCAATTACTACTTTGATTAAACATAAGAATCTTTGGAATCAATATCTACAGCTTGAAGATAGCAATGTAGAGCACTTTCATAATGATTAGAACCTTGTTGAAGAAATACAGTGGCAAGATTTTTCAGTGTTAAAAATCTGTGAAGATGAAAAAACATACACACACTTGTTTAATCACAATGCTGATTGGATGAAAACACACGTAGAGTTCTTGCTCAAACCAACCTTCCAGTTAGGAACTTCTAACCACCTCTCAAAGTCAGCTTGGATCTTTGCAACTTGCATCTAGATGATAAAGTGCTATCAACTGATATTTGAGCTGATCAAAGAAAAATCACTATGGACCAACATAATGAAAATAACAAGGAGAATTCTTATACTCCAGTCCACTTAACGGTTTTTAGTTCAGGACACCAACTGACTAATGAACAATTCAGAGGATGTCACACTCTGCATCAAAAAAATCACAACCCAAGTTTTTAAACAATCATCCTCAGGTGCTTTTCTACTAGCAGTCTCTCTCACACACACATACACAAATGTATCATTAAGAACCTAACCTCAGTCACAATACCATTCTATATCAAACTTTAATAACTCATTTAGAAAAAAACTTACTTCCCTATATGCATATAATAAATAAGCAGAAGTTTTAGGAACAGAAAGGTATTTCTGGAAATACATAAACAGAGTCATAGAGTCATAGCAATGGTTACCTGTACAACTGCATATCGTTTATGGGGGCTAAAAGTGTATCTTCAAACATTACAGCCAGATAAAGAGATTTCTGCAAAAAAAAAAAAAGTTTTTTTTAATCAAAAATCTCATATATTATATTTTCATTCACAAAAGAGAATTCACTATTACCTCTTTATATTGGCCACTTGATAACATTTCATCCCACCAAAAACCACACCATGTGAAATTTTCCTTCCCTGAAGTCCCATATCGATAAATAAAAAGTACATTTTTAAATAAATAAAAGAATTGACTAACTAAACAAATATCTTTTGTAAAGAATTACCAGGCATACTAAATAAGTGCTGAAGGCGTTTTCCATGCAATACTCGGAATCTTTCTTTAATTAATTCAACAAGGAGTATGTTAATCCCATCATTTCCTGAAGATATTAATGAGCCACAAGTTTTAGGAACAGAGGGGTATTTCTGGAAAAACACAAAAACGGTCAAAGACTCATAGCCATTGCTAACTGTAAAAGTGTACCTTTAAAAAATAACAAAAAAACTAAATGTAAACATAAAAAGCATGAAGTGTTTTATAGTGTTACGGATAAAAACTTCAAAGCTATAATGTTCTAATTGGTAATCAAAACCAAACATTTTTAGTTTTTCAAAGTATAATGTCTTAATGGAAGGTTTTATACCTAAGCTTCTAAATAGCATTTAGCTACAGAATACAAACCTATGAGGCAATATGGAAAGGCTTTTTAACTAATACCCTATTAGACATTCTGCATGTACCTAAATACCATTCAATTACAGCATACAAACTATCAAACGCACAAGAGGAATCTCTTAAAAAAAGGCTCAGCTACTAAAATGTCATCAGAGTGATCAGCAACTAATCACAAATGAAATATTTTAAAGCATTAAAAGGTTAACCTTACAATCTGCAATGTCTGTGGCACACAAAATATGGTTTGTGCAGAAGAGTGATTCACAATAGCATCTACAAGATTACGATTAGGCCTTAACTTATGATAAGACACTGTTGTCTAAAAAAAGGTACAAAACCAACAAGGATAAATTTATATAGTGAACTTAGACATGTAGACACAAAATTTTAATATAATGTACCGATGTTAAGAATTCTGCTTACTAACTTCAAATGAGCGGCAACAGAACATCTGTCACCAAAAGGGAAGATCTGTTACCTAATAAATAAGTAATATAACATGTGATGAATGTTGTGAACATCTAACAGATAACTTTATACCTCAACACTTGGTTGTTGGATATATGATGCAATTTGAAATTGTTCATGAACCCAAAAATCAAATTCAATCTCTTTAATCCTGCAGTAAGAAAATTACAATCAATAAGTTGTTTGATATTTTAATTTGGCTTGTTATCATTTACTTCTCTCTAAGTAACTTAATCCAGCAATATTTTCACCTTCAAAGCAAAGCAAAAAAAAAACTCTTTAACTTAATTAAGACATTTCATCAAACACCTAAAATGCACAGAAGAACAATGTACAACTAAACATTTTTTGGGTTTCAAAGCTAATTAAGTTTTACTAACATCACATCACCACTTGCTTGACCGATCGTCTTCTCCTGATGGATGCTCTACTTTTAATAAAGCGGCCTAATTCAAAAAACCGACACAACAAAAATTAATAGAGGAAAAAAAAAAAAAGAAAGAAACCCAAGTAAAAATATGTCATTAATTACCTTTTACATAAAGTTCAAGTACGTCCATGGGTGATAGTGTTTGATCATTTCAGCGACGATGATGCATGCTTAGGGTAAAACATGTCATTACTAAAAAAATAAAATTAAACACGCTACCTGAAGAGAAACATCTGTAGTCTTTTTCTTGATCAATGACGGTGAACTAAAACGACATCACAACCAGACATCATACAACTACAATGCATAAGGGTACAACCAATAGCATGGAAGGGAGAACGAAGAATCTTGGCCTAATTGAAAATACCTAACAAAATCAATAATACACCAAAACAATATAAATAATACACAGAAAAAATCAAGAAGGTTACCTAAGAGACAAAGAGGGAAAGACAGATTATTCTTGAACGCCGGAGAACGAAAGAAAGAGGAAACGTTAGTGTGGCTAGAAGAAAAAAAAGAATAAGGCGGTGAGAAAGATTTCCCCTCCAAAGAAAACCCCCTTGGGTCTCACTGGAGCGGAGTTACAGGAGATAGCAGAAGAGTGATTCACAATAGCATCTACAAGATTACGATTAGGCCTTAACTTGTGGAAAAAACTGTTTCATTCCTTTTTTTTCTCTGTACATATACGCCAAAAGAAAATACCCACTAACCACGTTTCCTAAACTTGTGGAAATCAAAATAAAACTAACTTGACAGCTTCAAATAATAAGTGAAAAGACAATACAAAAACTAATAAATCGAAAATAACTTGTGGGTTAAACAAAACACGTGGCTAACTTCATCTCAAGACAGTCACTTAATGTGGTAACTCGAGTTGGGCTACCGTGACCCATTTCTGATCTGGGCTTGTGACTGTTAAGTTGCAATTTTGGTCCGGTATATGCCTATCAGATAATTTTTATATAGTGAACTTAGACATGTAGACACAAAATTTTCATATAAGGTACCAATGTTAAGAAATCTGCTTACTAACTTCAAATGAGAGGCAACAGAGCATCTGTCACCAAAAGGGAAGATCTGTTACCTACTAAAAAAGTATTATAACATGTGATGAATGTTGTGAACATCTAATATATAACTTTATACCTCAACACTTGGTTGTTGGATATATGATGCAATTTGAAACTGTTCATGAACCCAAAAATCGAATGCAATTTGAAATTGTTCATGAACCCAAGAAAGAAAGGGTTATGTGCCTTATATCAGGAACACAAGAACATTACACAATCTGATATAAGCTTCTTTTTTTTGCCCAAAATCAGTTAATTGCTGCCAAAAGAATCTACCATTTTCATCAACTTCTTTCAGCTTCTCCTTAATCTGCTTTGACAACTGAAGAATCTCAAGGTCTGCACATTGAACAAATCAAAAACAAGAAAGCATTTTTAATCAAGTCAAACATAGATATAGACACAACGACATCATCATCATCCAGGTAGAACATTATCAGGGTAGTACTAATTAAACATAAAGATGGCATATGAGCTTTACCACTTTCAAACTACATAAATTATACCTCAAACAAGAGGTGATCAGTCTTCACATGCCTCACTACACAACCAATATTTAAAGATTAAAAAAAAAATCAAATTGCATTACCTTCACAAATGAACTACAACCAAGATTTCATGCCTGTATGCTAAAAGAAGATGGGAAAAGCTGATGAAGAAAAAGTGAAGACATCATATTTCACAAATTAAACTATTTTAGAATCAATTAAGTACACCGTTTTAATATGTAGATTCACTAGTAGTATTAAAGGAAGAAGTCTAATGTAGCTTTATATGATCAGTTGTGAAATTATCTTGAGACATAGTAGTCATTCTTCTGTTATTAACATAATTTGATCATGAACCATATCAAAGGTCAGAAGCAATACCTAGCATTTCCACATTGTCATACTCAACAGTGCAGTGATAGATAGCACTAACAAATTCCATAATATAACAAGGCTGCTAGAGTAACCATCATGCATATATGTGCAAGGTAAACTTAATCACACAAATAGCTATCAATCAATCAATAAATCAAACAGAGCCAAGAGTGGTTACCAATACCTGATAAATAAATAGCCCACTGCAACAAGTGTTTCCAATTTGTCTTTGATTCCTCTGGTTTGCATTTGCATCTTCAACAACCTATAGAAAAACTATTGCAAATGAGAAACAGAGCATCAAACCAGTTATATAGAAAGATTAAACATAAGAAACTGTTTCTGTTGCGTAACCAAAATTTTCTGTGAGAGAAAAACACAAGGAACCAACATCACAAAAGCCAATCCAGAAGTATGCTAAGTACATACATGGAAATACAAAAAAAAACACCCACAAGTTAAAAATATATATAAGCACCTCAAATGAATGACCTAAAGCCATGTGCTTCAAGTCGTTTCTAGTCTGTTGCCCCTATGCCTGTATCATCCATTAAATATCAAGCTCATGATCTAGTTCCTCTATGTGTTTATCATCATCAATGGCTTCAGTTGTTTCTGATTAACCTCCAGTAGGTAAAAAAAATGTTAAAATTAGGTAGAATTTTCAATGCATATTGCCCTAATAGGAAAAAAGATGAAAGTAGAATGCGATAATTGGTAGACATCTAAAAGATAGTCCTAATAAGAAATATCTAAAAGTATTTATGACAGTATTATGCCATAATTGGGTAAAAAAGTTAAAGTACAATGTCTTACACTTTAAGAATATCCATGAAATCAGGAGACAAGGATTATGCACCTGAAAACATTAAACAACACACGTCCACTAATCTGTCCCACATAGCATAGGAGATGCATTCTTGCCTGAAAAATATTCTCAAATCACAAAATGACTTCACTGCATTCATAAACACCATATTGAGCATCGATAATAAGCGTTACTGATTTTAAAATACATAAATTTATCATACCCATCATATCATACACTCTGTTATATATAACCATGGAACTTGAGTTGCTTACTCCATGATCAGATGCAACCGAGCCACCATAATATGCCAATATCATTCCGGACCTGGACCAATGTATCAAAAAAAAAGCTTTCACATTCTAAAATCATTAATCAAAATAGAATAACATATTGACTTGTATGAAATGTCACATTATCCTTATTTTTGTATCCATAAACTTCAGTTAATGAAAAGAAGAACATGCGAATTGCAACAAACTTGCATGAATTTTAATTGCTGAACCACATTTAAAAGATTTATGCTCTCCAAAACCCAAAAACAAGAAAGCATTTTTAATCAAGTCAAACAAAGATATAGACACAAAGACATCATCATCCAGGTAGAACATTATCAGGGTAGTAGTAATTGAAAAAGAAAGAAAGGGTTACGTGCCTTATATCAGGAACACAAGAACATTACACAATCTGATATAAGCTTCTTATTTTTTCCCCAAAACCAGTTAATTGCTGCCAAAAGAATCTACCATTTTGATCAACTTCTTTCAGCTTCTCCTTAATCTGCTTTGACAACTGAAGAATCTCAAGGTCTGCACATTGAACAAATCAAAATATATGAAAGATAAACTGATATGAACATGTTATAATGGAAAATTAGGTAAGTTCAGATCACCTGTAAAACTTCTGATACAGAGACCTTCAGTGCCCACTTGTATAGCAATTCATCTCACACTAATATAATTATAAAATGATAGAACTGCTATTTACTGAAAAAAGATTTTATTTATAAAACTATTATTAAAAACTTAGAATATGGATTTTGTCAACCAAGTGTGTCAGAATATCTTCAGAGTCCAGATGATAGATCTATCAGGAACAAAATCCTTCAACTGTTGCATTTGAGAAGTGGGCTATTCCGCATCGACAACAATGATGACTCAAGGTAGATGAAAGATCCTCAACTATTAGAATATATATACTATCAAAAATCTTCATGATGTTACACCAGAAGAACAACAACAAAGCCGATTTCACTACATTCACAACACTGCAATTTAATTGGGTAGTTTTTTCAACGTACAATGCTTCAATAAGAAAAATTGTAAATACTTACTGTAATCTTCAAGCAGCTTCCAGGGAAATTCTGTCTATCTAGGGAAAATTTGAAATGATGAGGATGTAGAGGGTATTTTCGTCTTTTACTCAGATGAAAGATCAAGAGTCAGTCGGTCCCTATCCAACTTTCCACTGACATCAGTCCTAGTGCATGCCAAAAGCATATGAGAGTAAGGAATCTACATAAGTTTACACTCATCCTTGGATGTATAGTTCATCTCTTGAACATCCACATGTTTTACTTCTGAAACATGAATATTACACATCAATTAAGGTTTAAATGCAAGAAATCGCAACCTAATTTTCTTGATTTGTGTATTTTACTCTGAAAAAACAGCCCAATTCTATAGCAGTGTCATCAACATACAAAACAATTCAAATTTCAACATTGTGCATTATAAAAAATCTACAAAGTTTTAGCAATGCCATACAAAGCAATTTCACTGCTTAATTAGGTGTGCTAATGTCCTAATAAGCCAAAAAATAAAAAGTGAAAGTGTGATGCTATAAAATAGGTAGATTAGCCAGAGTATAATGTCACAATAAGAAAAAAAAAAAAAAAAAAAAATGGGTGGGTAAAAAACATCCAAAAGTATTATGCCATAATATGTGGGTAAAAAATTTAAAGTACAGTGTCTTAATAAGTTGAAATTACCATATTGTAATAGAAAGAAATGAAACCAGAATGCCATAAAACACAATTACATGAAAACAAGTTGTTATTTATTGCATTTTTAATCAAGTCAAACATAGATATAGACACAAATCCAGAAATCTTAAGATATCATCATCCAGGTAGCACTATATCCGTGCAGAACTTATTGAAAAAGAAAGAAAGGATTATGTGCCTTATGTCAAAAACAGTACACAATCAGATATAAGTTTTTTTTTTCAAAATCAGTTGGATAAGCTAAATTTTGAACCCATGGATGTTAATTTCTCACAAAAGAATTTACCGTTTTTGATCAATTTCTTTCAGCTTCTTCTAAATCTACAAATGGACAAAAAAAAAGGAACAAAATTAATTGAGATTCAAAACTATGCAGAAACAATTGAACTCAAAAGTCAAAATTGAAATATTCTTTTAATACCTTCCAAAAGCCTCCCCACCAAAACCTGTAATTAAATAAAAGTTATTATCTTTTAACAGAAACATGAATTAATATTTAACAAAACTTTGTATGAGAATGTTATTATACAAACCTTCCTCCAAGACTACGATGCAAAGCCCTTAAAAGCCA